GAAGTCGAAGTCTATCTTGAACGATTCGAGATTTGGTATATTACGCGGAAAGGACTCGATGGAGAACGCAAAACGGCTTATTTCCTAACGGTCATCGGAAAGGATGCATTCTCATTGTTGAAGAATTTGGCATTTCCTGACTCTCCTATATCGTTGTCGTATGAATCCTTGAAAACCTTGCTGCTAAAGCATCTACAGCCGGCTAATTTCGAAGCTGCTGATTGAGCCAAATTTCATTCGCTCACACGTGGTGGAAGCCAACCTGTACGTGAATTCATTCTTCAACTTCAGACTCAAGCATCTCGTTGCAACTTTGGAGATCAATTGCAAACCCAGTTACATGATCGATTAATTGCCGGTATTAATTGTCCGGAATTACAGCAAAAGCTCCTGCTCATGCACGATTACACATTTCAATTGGCTACGGCAGTCTGTGAACAGTACCAAGATGTCCGTGCCATTATTTGTGATGAACCCAACTTGTTCAATGCCAACAATTCCAAACAGTCATCATCCCGACGAAAGCGGTTTTTCGAAAAGGGCTCGAAAACACCAAGCAACATCATTTCTCCGGCCCACAATGACCAACGGATTCAAAGACGAAACAAGTGCAATTCCTGTGGTCAAAGACATTCACGGTTATCCTGTAGATTTCGAAATGCCAAGTGTCACAATCGCGGTAAGCTTGGCCATATCCAATCTGTTTGCAAAAGTGCAAAGTCGTGTCTTGCCAAACGTACGACTGTTCATTCCTCTAAAGATTTATTGTGTGGTTTACAGTTCTTAACTCTAGCCAGTACCAGTTCACGTCCCTCTCGCCATGTTACTCGCGACTTCATCATTAATGACTCTATTCGCCATACATTCATTATGGACACCGGCAGTGTTGATTCTTTCATTTCCAACAAGATATTTCGTCAGTTAAACCCCCCAGTTGCACGTTCCCCACCAGTAATTTCAATTAAGGGAATTACCGGTCATTTTTTGCCCGTCTTAGGATCATGCGAACTGCTTCTTAAAGACGATGAACCACAAACATTTCACTGCCCGTTTTTAGCCATTGATTCCGACATTTCTATAATTGGTTTTAATTGTATGACTCGTATGCATCGGTCATTTTCATTCATGTCTGAATCCCATCAATCACGCCTTCGTCACTTAGTACTTGAATGTTCCAAGGCAAAGGTTAGTATCAAAATACCTCCTGTGAGTCTCGAAGTGACCGGTTCTCCGGTGTTTATGAAACGTAGGATTATTCCACTTGGACTTCGTGAGCCCGCAAAAAAGGCGTTAAATGAAATGGTGAGCAAGGGAGTTCTGACACCCGTAAATTCTTCGGCTTGGGCCACGCCAATTGTTACTCCACTAAAACGAGACGGGAAGACTCCTAGGATCTGTGGGGATTAGCAAGTTACTTTGAACAGACACCTGAGACAGTCCAGTTGTGCCACCATCGAATTGGAGCTATGTTGGAGCAGAATGGTAATCCGGTGCTGTGCATCTCACGCAGACTCACGGCTGCCGAACGTGGGTATTCCCAAACTCAACGAGAAGCTTTAGCTGTCTATTGGGCTGTCACGCGTATGCACAAGTATCTTTATGGAACTCATTTCACTATTGTCAGTGATCATGGAGCCCTGCAGTTCATTTACAACCTTCAACGTTCCCTGGCTAAGTCATCTACAGTCATGGTACAACGATGGAGTATTGCGTCTTCTGCCTATTCCTACGACATCCATCATCGCAGTGCGCAGTCCATTCCACACGCAGACTATCTATCACGCTACGCCATTTCGGAGGAGGCTTCTACGGGTGATTGTCTACTCACTCAACTGCTCCCTGTAAGCCGATCTGATCTAGTTCGCGAAACCAGGAAATATTACCACGCTATCATTTCCTGTGTCCGTCGAGGTTGGCGAGGTGATATCAAGCGTCGATTTCCGGAATTCTATAAACGTCATGAGGAGATTCCTGTGACATGTGACGGTGTCTTGTGCTACAACGATCGCATTATCGTACGTACGTACTGCTGTTCTCAATGACTTACATTCCGGTCATCTCGGCATTGAAAAGATGAAGTCTCTTACTCGTCTCACATGCTGGTGGCCTGAATTGAATCATGATCTGAATCGTGTTGCGAAATCCTGTGCTGATTGTGAGCACAACACTCACAGACAGCCTTCGAAATGGACTCCGTGGCCAGTATCTTCCGAGTCATGGCAAAGAATACATGTGGATTACTGCGATTCATTCTTCAACATATACTAAGCATTGGTGATCGTCGATTCCTATTCCCGTTGGCCACAACTCCCAGTTCAGAATTTACTATTCGAGCACTCAGTAAAACGTTCAGTAGAGAAGGTGTCCCGCATGCTATCGTGACTGAAGTCACGGAAGTCATTTCACTGCCAAGAAAGTTACCGATTGCTTGAACTCCATGAGTTGTCGGCATGTTTTCACTCCACCCCGACATCTGCAATCCAGTGGCGCAGCCGAAAACTTCGTACGCACGCTGAAGAGTGTCATTGCTNGAAATTCCAGTACCTTCGACGAACTGGACAGAGGCGTTGATAACTTTCTGATGCAATACCGTAACGCAGTACATTCAACTACGGGACACAGTCCATCAAAGCTTCGAAATCACTTCCACTCTTACGAACCAAGTCACACGGATAGACGAGCATGAGGAGAACCTAAATCGCCTCAGGAAAGAAGAACTATGCTGGCTGAGGTGGTCAAGAAGATACGGAAAAACACCGATGTAGCCATAGGTAGAGATCGCAACTTACTCATCCACGGTGTACCAGAGCCTTTCATGCGGCGAGGTAGACTGAGGGACCGGTATGTGCGGGATTACTTGGTCACGTTGATAAGAGCGGTATCAATCCCAGAACACCTACTGCTTAATAGAGTACTCAGACTTGGGCCGTAGAGGGTCCATAACGTGACAGAGGTAGCCCAGCCTAGTTTAGTTCATTTCAGTTCAGTTGCGCAGGACGAATATGGCTCTTGCCAATCGAGCGTCCATTTAGTTGTGTTGTCGGTGGATGGGAGTAGCTTCCAACACTGCGTACAGTTCATTGGGTATTTGTGATCCTCACACTTCAATCCCGTGTCCAGAACGTTGTCTCCCTGGGGGTATGCTGAAAGAGAGGAAAACAAGCAAGGATATCTCCTCGCCTCATTGGTTAGAGACCTCAAGTACACTTGCGCTAGTATACAGCTGACGTGTGACAGGATAATCAGGTTTTCAGAATAATTTCAACACTCAAACCCAAGTTTATATTATTTCACAACTTCTAGCTAAAGTAGAATTTAATCTTAATGCTCCTAGTCTAAGTACTAACTTCGGGGAACGTTTCTGACCAACATGCGTCCAGTGCCACCTTGAAGGTGTTAACATTGGCGCAGTTGACCAATTCTGCGGGTAACCTGTTCCACATAGGTATGACCCTGTGTGCAAAGAAGTTGGTACGTACTTCTAGCCTGGTGGGGTTTTATTGGAGTTTATAGCTATGACCTCTCGTGTTTTGAGCACGAGAAATCGTAAACAAGTCATCTAGGTTGAGTCCCGATAGACCTCTCTATCAGATCTCCCCTCATTTGTCTACGCTCCAGCGAAAAGAGATTTGGATCTCGTAACCGCTGCTCATAGCTTTTCCCCTTTTGCCCAGTCACCATTCGGGTGGCTAGGCGCTGTGCTCGCTCTAAGCACGTTACATCCCTCCTGTAATACAGTGCGGATGCCTGCACACAACATTCCAAGTGTGGGTGCACAATCAATTTATACAATGGGATGAAAACCTCAGGCCTTCTGCATGTCACTGTGGCAAACAACCTGAACAGCTGCCCCTTAGCCTGATTAGCAGCTTTGGAACACTTAGTTGAGGGTTTAAAGTCTTGGGTCATAAAAACCCCGAGATCTTCCATTTGCGGTACCTGCTGCATGGGAGCCTCATTTAACGAGTATGTCCCATCCCTCGTTGGTAGGAGCCGGCACTTGCTTCCTCATTTAACGAGTATGTCCCATCCCTCGTTGCTAGGAGCCGGCACTTGCTGAGATTCATAGACTACCTCTATGTCCCTTTGTAGGTCTAATCCTGTCATTTTTACATCATCAGCGAACATCAATAGATTTAACGGTAAGTCCCACTTGATTGACCATCGATGGACTACCTTTATGTCCCTTTGTAGGTCTAACCCTGTCATTTTGACATCATCAGCGAACATGAAACACGGATTTTGAAGATCCTGTGAAAGATCGTTTATGAGTATGAGAAAAAGTAAGAGGCCTAGCACGGAGCCCTGGGGAACCCCACTTGTAACTATCTACTGGTTAGAAATGTAGTCACTCTTGACCCGGAAGGTGCGATTACTCAAAAACGCTACAATCCAGTCCCTGGCT